TGTGGAGGTATGTAATAACGACAGGAGAGGTCTCTGTGTCTCACTCCAACAACTTTTTATTTGACTCTCAGAACTTCACATATATTGAGCGCCAAAATCTCCACCCCAACACTTCCGTTCAACTTGGGTGTGAGTGGAGCCACCTGGTGGTCCGCCACAATACAAAGAAACTGTCAGCATGGTTAGAGTGGTGTAGTCTCTCTTTTTTTCTGCTTGTCATCAGAAAACATCTGTGGCATATTTACATATAAAAATTAAACCGTTAACCTGATATAGAGCATATCGATTTTAGGAATTAATGTGTAAATAGTGTTCTTAAAGAGAACTTTATAAAAATATCACGCAGTAAAATGGTAAATGGCCTGTATTTGTATAGCACTTTACTTGGTCCCTAAGGACCCCAAAGCGCTTTACACATTCAGTCATCCACACATTCACACACTGGTGATGGCAAGCTACATTACAGCCACAGCTGCCCTGGGGAGAACTGACAGAGAACTGACACTGGCGCCACCGGGCCCTCTGACCATCACCAGAAGCCAACGGGTGAAGTGTCTTGAGCCGGGGCTCGAACCGGCAACCTTCCGATTACAAGACAAACTGCCAACTCTTGAGCATCAATGATTATGGCTGATTTTAGATAGGATGGGATGGCTGCCTGGTCCAGTGAGAGTTTGAAGAATCTGGTGAAGATGAGGGTGAGCTGGTGGGCACATGCTCTTAGCACCTTGCCAGGTACTCCATCTGGACCAGCCGCCTTCCTGGCGTTCACTGCTAGGAACACATGTCTGACATCGTGTTCCGTTACAGTGAGTGAAGCGGTGCAGGATCCATGTGAGGATGAGGATGGGAGCAGGGCTGAACCAGATGAGTGCTGCTGTTGTGGTGTTTTCAAGATATAAGGGGTGTGGTGGTTAACTCTGTTGCCTCACAGCAAGAAGCTCATGGGTTCAACTCTGGTGTGCCTTTCTGTGTTGAGTTTGCATGCTTTCCCCTTTTGTGTGGCTTCAAACTTGGTACTCTGGCTTCCTCCCACTTTCCAAATGCATGCATTCTGTATTGGTCCTGTGAGAGACTTCCTCTTGCCACCAGAGGCAGATGGGATAGGCTCCAGTGTCCCTGAATTGGACAGGAGAAAGGATAAAAGAGTGACTTTTAGCGACAGTGAAACTGCATAATTAGTTGGTCAGTAAAGTTACAAAATTTGTTTGGGAGTTTAAGTGTCACTAAACTGACAGAAAACTTGTTTCTTTTCTGTTTGCAGTTCTGTTGTATTGACATACATCCTGCTTGGTTTGTTCACACATTTTTATTTGAAGCTGGTCACCAACAGGAAACCAGTTGTGCCTGTTTGCATAGAGTGTGCCCATTTATATCTTAGCAAAGTAGAGAAGTTTGTCTGAAAGCTGCCGGAGGAGTTGACAGAAGGTGAACAGAGAGGAAACATGGGAGTCTCTCATGTTTAGCTCAGTTTAATTATTTGAAATATACAACAGCTCTGTTATGAAGTACAGTCACTGAATATATTTTGATAACATCCTTTGTGTTAAGCTTTAAGGCTGAAAGATTGAGCTATGTTTGAAAAAGCTTTACACAAAAATCACAAAAATATAGTTCATTGTAATTTCTGGAACATTTTGATGTACCATTGACTGTAACTCTGACTGACTGCAACTATAATTGTGGCTGATGTAGCTTTTGTATGATGAGGCTAATTAATATTTATACTTTGACAGCTACTGAATGTGTCAATAGACTCTGAACAGGGAGAAGCTGTCCAGCTGGACCAGGCGACGTTGATGGTGCTGATGAGGAGACTGCTGCAGGCGACGCTGATGATGGTAAATGGTAAATGGCCTGTCTTTATATAGCGCTTTACTAGTCCCTAAGGACCCCAAAGCGCTTTACATATCCAGTCATCCACCCATTCACACACACATTCACACATGATGCTGAATCTGGACCAGGCGACGGCG